CCTTTCTGGCAGAAAAATTACAGGACTAAACAGTCTCTGAGTGGTTCAACTCTTGAGCTGTTGAGTATATAAGTAAGTTGCATTTTCAACGTCTGCGAATATACAACACTGAGGAGATAAGGTAAATAGAACTGTGAAGAGTACTGTGTGTATATTCGTTGGAGAGATGGCTCTTGAATCGCTTTCTCGAGTGCTTACCCATTCGATTAGATGTCCTTATGCGCCTATGCACTCGAGAACTCTCGTGATTTTTTTTTTAAAGTGGGAGGGGTAAAAAAAAGGGAATTATACCGCAATCGCAATTCGCCGGAGTGTTTGGTATCAACTTGAGCGCAGTTGTTCATTTTGAATTGGCGGAACAAGGAGTGAAATGGATGCTTGACCTGAAAATGAGAAAAATTTTGAGTAATATGGTGGAGGTGATTTTGTTAGAAAAAATGTGGGCACAGTGGGAATCATGAGATAAAACTTTTTCATCACTCGAGTCCCGCTAGTTGGCATCTATCATTCTGTTTTGGAGCCGACAGGTGACTGCAGGTCGCTTTTTACCGCTCCCAGGAGTGCTAACTGCAATTAGCAGTTCTAGACTCGAAAAAAATCTGACCTCAAGTCAGATGTTTCTACTTAGGCCTTGAAGTCGGATCAGAAATGGATCTGTTCGTAGTCAGGTTCGACTGGTCAGGTAAAATCTGATCAAAACCTGTTGAAACGCTGATTCTGTGTTCCTGAGGTCAGGCAGCCAGAAATCACTTTGATTACATTCGGATTTGGTCTTCCTGATTTGAATTTGAGCAGAGTACGCTGTTAAAAAATTTCGTCTGAATTGTCCATGCCAAATTTCGGAAATTTTTATCATGTTCAAGTTCCACTGCAATTTTAGGAAATCTTGTTAATCTGGTTATAAAGACATTTCATAACCATTTTTTTCCTCAATCCGCTTCAATGTCACTCTTATGAGATTTACTATAATATCTTCCATGAAATTTCAAAAAATTTTCAATTTCTAATTCTAATTTTTGCATGTATAGATATCCTCCACAAACAGATATTTTTTCACTGAATTTCATTTTACTCCACGATTAATTTTCAGGTAATTTTTAGCCAACTTTTCTCTTTCTGTGAAAACTAAATAAATACGGAGTTGATTTTAGAAAAAAAATCCAGTATCAATCGAAAAATCCATGAAAATAAGAATGATTACCTAATCATCCAACGAATGACGTATGTGAAAGAAAAGAAATTTCTAGAACCTGTTTTTTTTCTGAATTCGAGAAATTTTTCCCTCTGGTCCCTTTCCACAAATGATTCATATTTGTCAAAGAATAAACGCTGATAATGGATCACTGTTGTCAGTCTCTTTGTTGCAGTTTCACTGTAAGTGATAATTTTGCGGAAATAAGGCGAATGAATGGGGTAATAGATGCCTCCCAGAGTAACGCTATTAACCCTCTGGAATAAAGTAATCTCTCCCCAGGTTCTTCTCCTATCAGGAGGGCCGCATCATATTTTTCATTACCAAACATTATCTGTGTAATACCTTGACACACGAGAGGGCTTTGTCCCCACCGGAAATTTTCAACCTGGATGCGTTAATAGTGGGCAATAAATACACTGCTTTAATCTGCCAACAATTTTCTCCCGTACACCGACCGCCTTCCATAGATGGAGATAATTGAGGATAAACGAGGGTACGAAGCAGGGAGATTCCATAATCAATGAATTGAAGAATTATTATTTGAGTGGTTATCCAAAATTCATTGGGCATATGCATGTAATGATCACAATTGCGAGTGAAAAATTGAAGTAATAAAGTTGATGCAATAAAAAAAGAAAGAATGGAGTAGTGAACGAAGGGCCGCGATGGAATTACAATACATAACATTGATGACCAATTCGATTTTTCACATTTCGTAAATTACCAAATTATGTCGATAATAAGTGGATATTTTATAGAACATTAAAGGGCTCTTTCCATAAAGAAAAAAATTACTAGTTTCCAGAATTTTTAAATTCCTTGATCTCGAAATCTGTTACTGATTTAAAAAATCGCGTTGAAATTTGAGTCTTCGTTGGAGTTAGAGACTCGTTAAGCGACTTTTGATGTACACTGAGAGAAAAATGAATAAGTCCTCAAATAAGTCGGGTTTGGGGGACTGAGTCACCTCACATTATTGAAACCAAGTCCTCACACCCGAAAAAAGGCACTACATGGGCAGCAATTACAATCAAAGGTATTTTCCTTAAATTTATTGAGAGTCCGACAATCAGTGCTGATATTTACTGTGAGTTCTTGAAGAAGAACTTCTTTCCTTGGGCACGAAAAAATCAGNGTACAAGTGATGACGGACACTTGGAAGGAATTGTATTGCAATTTGCCGAATGTTCCTTGTACAATAAAAAAAGAACAATTATTTACATTNCCCTTACAGTCCGGACTTAAATCCCTGCGATTTTCGCCTATGGGGTTTTCTCAAGGACAAGTGCTATGAGAAGCATCCGACGACGGTGAGAGAGTTGCAAGGCGCAATTAGGGATGCTATCCGAGCTGTTAATAAAAACACAATACAGCGCATCTATACCAGTTTCAAACGCAGGATAGAGTTCTACACGGAGAAAAAAATTCCAGAATTTTTCAGGCGAAATTCAGGCAAAAATTACCGTGCCGTCTGGTAAAGTGGGTTCAATTGTCTAGCACCAGAAAAATTCCGGTGCTGCATAGTAAAAATTCCGGTAACGCACAATAAAAGCTTGATCCCTGACTGTTTTCTATTACATGATAAATTTCATTCAATAGTTAAAAATGAGTAAACATTGTCATTCAGCATATCATCCTATTAATTTTATTTTAACCTCTCCTCCGTATCCTCTCTCCCATATTAAAAGCGGAATGCGCGGCAAACGTATGTGGAACGTTTGACAGGCCAATGTATATCTACAGCGTTATACACCTCATGAAGCGAAAATAAAGGGCACTTATTTTATTTCTTAACCGTTTTATCACAACACTAATTAATATTTCACTGAATTGATATTATGAAAAACATTAACCTGGGGTTTCAGTAAGGAGATATGTGAGAGAGGAGGCTAGAGGAGGCGACGGAATAAATCATCTGGTCACGTTGAGTCGATGTTCGTGGTTGCGGAGGGGGGACGAAGAGTACCGAAATCTTACGAATGCGCGATCGGGTCCTAGGATTCTGGTAGAGCACCGGAAAAATTTGCCAGTCAGTGTCATAATTTTTCTCGTATTTCTCGTAAAAATTCACTGTCGCTTCGATTTTACCGTGCTGCATAAGAATTTTTCCCCACATTTATCCGAAAAATGACTCGTGCAACAGTACCTTTTCCTACTCTTTGCGGTATATTTGGCCTGGAAAGACCATCTGAACCAACTTTACTGTGCGGGCACGGTAATTTTTCTCGTACATTTCTCTCCGTGTATAGTACAAGTGATGACGGACACTTGGAAGGAATTGTATTGCAATTTGCCGAATGTTCCTTGTACAATAAAAAAAGAACAATTATTTACATTTCACTGTATCCAAGTTATTTGCAATTTATTTTGGCCACATGCTATGGGACACCCAGTAGTATATTTCAGGGCGAGTGTCATGGGGTTCTTTACTCACCTCGCCTTCGGCTCGGACCCAACTCCACGTGAGTAAAAAACCCACCAGTCGTGAACGATATATTTTCATAGTGATTTTCACTTTTACAAATTTGGGGAAGGGCCAATACCAATCCCCGGACGAGGAAAAGTGAAGGTCAGTACGAAAAAATAATTGTTTGATTTGAATTTGAAAATCTCAAACATAAATAACTGTTCTGCTCGTAGGCAAAATCGGACAAAAGTAGCTAAAAAGAAATCTTATTCAATTTAATAAAATGAAATAAAGAATGAATTATACATGATACAAGAAAATGATGTGCAAAATAACCATTCGGGCGCATATTGCTAATTTATTAGCAAATATAACTATACTATATGCAATATAAGATCAATTTCCCACATGCACTGTTAGAAATTTCTTGAAATTTTCGTCACAGCGTCATCTAAATTTTCAATGTTGTGAATTTGAATTCAATTTCAAGTGAAAACGTTCACTAGATTTCTCATGCATCGTGAAAATTAAAGAAAATTGGGTTTTTCATGTCAAACGATCATTGATTTTTCAATGAGAGCTTGAATTTCCAAACTCATCGTGAAAATTGAACATCGCGTACAATTCAATTTTGAGTAGATTGAAAATTCAGAGAAGTTATTGTCTGAATTTTCAAAACTTTCAAGGTTTTTAAGTGCCATATGAATCTGAAAATCGAGAATTACTTGAATATTCAAGAAAGTAACTGATTCGTCAATGAAGAATTCTACAGAAATTTCATGTAACTTTGTCATTGTTAAAAATTTCAAGCGTTTTCACTTGAAATCTCAAGAGTAATTTTCTAACAATGTGTTTCATATTTTTTAAATATTCTCTAAAGGTTCAATATCGAGAGTCAAATTCAGACCTGCAATGATTACATAATAAAATTATTGTAAAATGTACGGAAACTAAGGGTCAAATTCGACTACAAAAGTAGAAAAGCATTTCCCCGGTGAAAAATTAGCCAAAGAACTTGGATATCCTTAAAAGACATGTGTCCAAATCGCATTTGACCGCTACGACATAGGAATCCCCACTGAATCCCTCAATTATTTCATTTATAGCCTGAATGTCCGCCGCATTGTTCACGAAAATCCTATCAGTAATATAAGTGAATCATTACCCAAGAATTATCGAGTTATATTTCGCGATTGCAATTTGAATATCCGTAAGCCGCCATGAATAAACTCATGGCCTACTATACGATGGGATATGCTATGAACCAATCAACTGATGCTGCAAAACTAATTCCGTCAAGAGATCTCTCTTCTATCCACTCCGTAATGGGATTCTGACATCGTACGAAACTATGCAATTATCCATAACGCATTCTATTCACATCACACTCTCGTTTACCTCCGTGTACCTCACAGACTAGCGTGAGGTTAGCACCCTCTGCGTACGCCACCAGCAACTTGCTCATGTCACGCCTCTTCGTATCGTAGATTATTGGTTTCGATGGTGGATCTGGAACAGAATAAAATAGAACGCATTATACACTTTGAATGCATAATTTTCAATTTATTGAACATAATTTGTGATGCGTTGGGATGATTTTTCAGAGGAATGAATTCGAATTCGCATTTGAAATTTGTATGCCACAATGGACGACCAATGAGGCATTAAGGCCTTTTTCCCTCAATTATTGCGACTTTTTTTAATTCAGTGGGAGAATCTGTTTTTGTGAAATTCGTGCTTGGAATAGTCCTTTTCCATTCACAGATTTTTGTGAAGGGCTACTCACAAGCGAATTGGGTGACACCACGATTACAAAATGTAATCATCACTTACCCAGAATTATGGGACTGATTACACTAATTACCATTGCCTATGTGATAACCGTGATTACCAAGAGCACAGAATGTGATTACATGATTACAAATGATTTCGTCGATTACATCCTGTGATGACCAAACATCTGTAATCTTTAAATCACAAAAAATGGCCTCTTATTAAATATGAATTGATGGAATAATCAATTATTAGAACCTGCAAAGAAATGAGAGAGGGGCGGGGATTAGAACAGAGGAATGCAGTCTCCATCACTCCATCTAAAAATTTGGGCACGTATAAGTGCTATCAGCAAAATAAATTTACTGAATATCTACCATTGATGGAGAATGAACCTTACCAACAGATAATTCAGAGATAATTCAGTCGTTGGTTCTCCAGCATAAGAAGAAATTTTAACTCTGTTGAATCATTTCTCTACGGACAAATGCTCTGTGCACAACGCATTGGCTATGCAAGGTTCTGAACCATAAACATCTGAGATTCCAAGAAACATTGATCCAGAGATCTCTGAGACTTACCGTTTGTAGAAATGATGCGCTCGAAAATTTAAAAACAAAATTCACGGTCTCACTAGAAGCAACTGCGAAAGATTACACTGATGACAAATGATTACCACTGGATTATCAAAACTTAATTACAAATATGGTAATCATGTGATTACAATAATTACATTGATTTCACTGGGATTACAATTGATTACATCAGCGAGTGACACCACGATTACGCCTACGAATAGCCCTTCGGATTTTGGTGTATAAAATGGCACTTTTCGTATCTTCTACGATAGTAAACGAAAGTGCCTTTTCGTTTACGAGATTCACTTTTCCTTTACAACAGCTGACGTTCTAGTTACAACTTGGGGTTCATTCCTATGTCACTGTTTAAAAGATGCCGTTGCCGTTACATTTTTGACCGATACGTGCGTAGCTGCACATATCGGTCTAATCATCTCAACTAAATTGTATACGCGTTAGAGTCCTCTGCTTTTAATTATTAATAATCTGAGTATTTTACGGGCTAAACGTGTATTCTGTTTTCATAATGAGGCCTAAAATTCAAGCTGTCCTTGAAGTATCAATGATAGCTCACCACGAAAAACTGAATTTTATTGAATTTTCAAGATGAATGGGAATTTACATGAATGATGTGATCATCAATTGAATTAAACCCCACAATATTGAGAATGCAATTGCAATCGTTACGGGAAAGTAACAAATTTCTAACAATGTAATAAACTTAACAGTTTCACTCAACTTCACCTGTTTTATTGAATTTATCCTGGCCATAATTTCAATAGAACCCTCAGAATTCAGCTCGTCAAAAGCTATAACCACAGTCTACAAACGATCCGGCCATTTCCTAAGAAATTATTTCATTGAAGATATAATGAAGTTGGACACAAAAAAAAAGTTTTGGCTTTGAGGAACATGTCACTGACATTCTGGATCATGTCACTGATGTTCAGGAATCCATCACCATTGATCAAACTGAACGTTGAGTACAATGACCCTGATTATCAGTGATTTTTATCACAGAAATTTGGTGAAAGATTCCCAAAAATTTGATTGATTGATTGAGATTTATTCACTGTACATTATGTTGTACAAAAATTTAGTAATGAAAAGTCATACAGCGGAGAAACTCGAGCAGATAACTAAAAACTAAAAGAGGCTGTAAATGGCATCAGTAATACAGTAGGAGATTACAAATACTATGTACTAATAGCTCACAACAAGAAAAAGAACGCAGAAAAATAGGGACAGGGAGCATGAAAGGAGGATTGAGGAACCAGAGGGAAATCATCGTAACAAGGAACTCTGGAGATGGATCCCTGACAATTAGTGATGATGTCATTGGAAATAAGTGATAATGTGACTAAAAAATCGATGATGATATCACTGAATTCCACAATCGCGAATATCTGATAATTGGGGATAATTTCCCACAAATTAGTGACGCGTCCCTGAAAATGAACATTTTTTTTCTGTGCACATTTTTTTAGCTCTCCGCTAGATCATCCAAGCAAGCCCCAAACAATATCCATCATTAAATAGATCTCAACACGCCGTACGAATCATTTTCATTCACGCAAGAATGACATTTCCATTTCTTCTCCTGCATCATCCAACCATCAAAGAGGTCCAAATGCCAGAGCGCACGGTTGCAAGAGAAAACAACTCGATAAGGGTTGACAGAGTGACGGGGAAAAATATTTTTCATATAACGTATAACCCATGCAACGATATTTGTACATGTGTCTATCCACATACATCGGCGGGAAAATTGTGTCCCTGGAGCAAGACTGGTGGCAATAAACTGTTCGCGCACACAGCATGACTTCCTCTCGTCTATATGTGAACAGAACAACACCTGTACTGTCCCTGTACCAGTGAATATCCTTACGTGCTATATAAACGTGACTCGGTGAGGTGGGAGCCAGGGGTTACGTGTGCCTCTTGGATAACAGAATGGCGAAGGGATGACGAGGACGGGAAATCCATAAGTTCTTTCAGCCTCACGCCTCAGCAAACTAGCGTTTTTTTGTGACGAGGAAAAAAAATGTGAAACATACGTATACAAAACAGGGAAACTTTAATATCCGTCACATGTATTTCTACAAATCATTTTGCACACTGGCTCGTGCCTTGCGATAATTCCAAGAGGATTTCTGATGTCTGCATGCTTCGTAAGATCTCACGCGGCCAATTCAGTTGGGTCACGATACGAGCGAAACACGCAACGAAAATTCATCAAGAGTACCAGCAACTTCTTACATGATTATTTATTAAACTGTGGGAAAGTGTATTGCTAGGAAAATTTCGTGCTGTCTGCAAAATCTTGGTATCCATTTGTTACTGGCATCCTGGTAGGAGTCTGGGGAGGCACTCCAACATAAGGTTTCAGGGGCGACTCTAGGATGTCATACTGGTATTCTATCGTCGTTAGGATCTAATTTATCGTCGTCGATCGTCGATAGATCTTGATATGATGGGTTAGAGATAGTTCTGTCATTTATCTAACAAAATCACATTACCCTTGGCCAGGTCTCCAAAGGCCGCATTTGAATTTCCAATGATATTATGCGAGTAGTTCATACGATACCAAAACAAGCAGGAGTTTGAGCCTCTCCGACAGAAGGTATGTGACCGTTACTGTTTTCATTAGTTGTCTTTTTTTGTTTCATTTCTGCCAATTTCATTAGTAGTAAGCTTCCAAATGGATCCGTAGCAATTCCCTGTGACAGGCATACAACCGCAACCACATTCTACAGGGTGTCTACAGGGTGATGTTGAACTTTTTGATGAAAACTGATTTATACACAAGGTTAAATATCTCCAAAACCACTTTGCCCGAAAATTTAAAAATTGAAAAAAAAATGTATTTGAGGTTCTGTTCATATTAAATGAATATTTTTTTGCTATTAATGAATCTTTATTTGATCCAAAATCAATTCTTTATTAATACCCAATAAACTGTTGGCTTATATCAATGAAAATTCTTCATTTTAACTGAATGAATTTTTCCTTTGAACTGAACAAATATTTATATGATACTAATAATTTATTATCGTGTTGTGGTGGTCATAAACTTGAAAGAGATTGATCGAAAAACATGCAATAATTATTAGGGGCTATACATATATCACTGAGAAATTTCTGTTCCATAGTTTCACTATCAGGGAGACGATAGTGAAAGAAGGTTGTGTGTATTGGAGTGAAAGGTGTAATAAAAAATTGGATCAGAATGATTCTAGAGCTCAAATCCTTCAGATTTTACATTTCCTGGATGAGGTTTATACGATCTTTTTCCACATAGCCCACGAATATTGTTGAAAGGGTCACGAGGGTCACCCCGGTCAAAATAAGGGTCATTCGAGTTATAATGAGGCTCAGATTAAGGATCCAAGTGAGGATCACAAGGACCATATTAAGGATCGCAAAGGTTAGATTATGGGTCCAAATAAGGGCTATGGGGGTCAGAAATTAAGGGTTATAAGGGTCAAAATAAGGGTCTCAATATCTCGCTATATTGTAAAAATCCAATTCGGCTTTTGGTCACGAAAAGTTGGTGCTCGAAATTAAGAATCCAAAATTAAAAAGGGTCAGACATGAAGAGTCAAAAGGGTTACGAGGGTCAAATTATGGGTCACAAGGGTCAGAATAAGGATCATGAGGATCACATGGGGGTTGGCGAGCGAAGTGAGCAGGCGGCGTAGCCCCCTAGTATTTGAAATAAATAAATTGTTTATGTAATGTAATAAAGTCCTTTTTCTTGAAACAAGCTTACTTGAAACAAGTTCATTCATTTGTAACAAAAATATTCTTGAAATAAGTAAAAAATTTTAAATAAAAATTTTCATTTGATTCAAAACAATCATTTTTCTCGGTGTACTCTCTTGATTACCTCAGTAATGAAAACTCGGAGGGTTCAGAAATAATTCGTCTTTTCGCTTGGGATGAAGGAAGGGAAGGAGTCACATGAAAAATCTACTGTGTGTGAGGAAACCCCGAGAGACTCAAAGGTATAAAATATACAATGTGTCGGTTTTTTTTCCGTCGAGGTATACCTATACGTGACTTTGTTTGATTCCCAGTGTAGCACCGTGACCTCATCCGCTATTTATATCGTTCCTCCTCTTGCGGATGGGTTTCTTCACCGGCGGTTCAGCATTT